CGGCTCACAGGGGAACTCTCCTTCAGTTTGATCAAATCTGTTTCTGGCCTGAACCGATTTCCGTTTGTGCTCATTGTCGTCTTCAGAGGTTTTCATGTCGTTTCCTTCAGTGTTGCCATCACACCTGCCTTTCTATGACCAGCCAATCCTGTGGATCTGTCGGGGTTAAAGGTCATGGTTCCATTTGCACCATCAGGATGATTTTATATTGTTGATGCCAGTTGATAAGCTTACACTGATTGTGTTGAACGTTGGAGTATTGTCGTCTGCGACAGTCCAGCTGAGAGGAAAAACCTCTCTGAATCCCCCAGAGGTCAAAGGTTGAACAGTGGAGTCACTGGGGGAAGATGAAGACCTAAAGCTCATCCATCACTGTCCCTCCGGTCCAGATGATCAGAGACGACTCGTGCTGAGGGCTTTTGTTGCCCGGCGGGCCGGCCCTCTTCGTTAATGAACTCCGGCTCTGATTTGTAGTCTGCGGCGCTCCGTTTGGGTTTTCAGCTGTGCTGTCCAGCTGTCACTCTCACTCACAGGAGACACTCGGCCCACATGGCAGAAACTGCTGAGGCTCTCAGGGGATTCAGATCTGCTGGCTTCTGACTGCAAAAGGTCGGGTTCATCATACTTCAATTCAGAGGTGCAACAACGAGAGACATGAGAAGGTTTAGCCATAAAGGACAAAAAAATCAGAATTTAACATTTAAAATTACATCCACTGTTCAAAGCTCACAGTTCAATCTAAAGTAATAAAATCTAAATTATCAGTTTTATACCATGCTGTATTAGTGCCATTATGGATAAAAAAATTATAAATTGCAAATTTCCACCAAAAAACTCTGAAATTTTGGAGAGAAAAACTTGGAAATTTCTGAGCTTGAAATTTGTTAGGAAAAAATCAGGATTAAAAAAATATATATATATATATATATATATATATATATATATATATATATATTTCTGAGCTTGACAAGTCAAAAATTTGCTAGAAAAATGTTTTTGAGACAAATGTCAGAAATTTTCTAAAATAAAAATTTTGACTAAGATTAATAATAAAAAATCTTAAACATTAAAATAAAATAGTCCGTTTCAAATTTACTCATATTATGTTTTACATAAAAAATAAATTAATCCAAAGCTCGGTTTGACATCAGCCCTCTTTAATGTGGAAGTTGTTACTGCAGGAAGACACTTTTTGTTTTTCAGTGCTTCGCTCGTCACTCTGGGAGGAAAATGTGGATTTCCTTATAACTGGAGAAAAATGAATGGAACGGGTCAAATTTAGCAGAGATGAAAATAAAACGCAGCACCGCTTCCATTAATGAGCTGTATGCATGGTGACGCTATCAGATTCCTTCAGCCAGAACAAACACAGCGCAGCGTTTTGCTTCAGTATTGGATATAAAATCTGTTCCCGTAGCACTGAATCAGTCCTTCTAGTGCAGATTCTTCCAAATTTAGGCCTTCATGTGCTGCAGCCTTCATCAAAAGAAAACGTTTCCACTCCAGGCATGTCAGGTTTGATCTTCGTTTGAGAGCCTTCATGTTGCCTCGGTTCTGTGAAGCGACTTGATTCATGTCTGTTGAAGCTTTTTGAGCTGCTCAGTGGAGATCAGAGAGGCTTTTATGAAATGCAGACCTTTTTTAGTGCCTCTAAAGTTTGGCTTCAATCACATCGACGTGTGTGCATCTTTCATCGGGTGATTTCTACGCAGTTGCCTGCAGAGACGCCATGCTGAACTTTTAGCGTCATTTTGTTGTTTTTCTTCTCCAAAAGCTGCAACCCTCGACTTAAACTAGATTTTTTTCAGTTGGTTTGTAAGTTTTATTAAAAGCGTCACAACGTAGGCAGACTTCAACAGGTTTTACATCAGGGCCCTGCGGTCTCCTTCACTCCTTGTTCCTCGGCAGAGCTGCGTTAAATGTCTGGAAGGATGTTTCTTTCCAGGAACTTTGGAGGACAGAATCCTGCTCATAGACGGCCGTTTTATCACCCTGTAAACTTTTAACGGGCCTCAGCAGTAAACATGGAAGTTGCTTCCTCTGACAGTTGATGTTGTTGCCTTATGCGACTCCTGGCAGCTGCTAGCCAACACTTTGGTCTGGCTGCTGTATTCAGCAGTGGCAGGAACATATCTGTTTATAGCAGAGCTAATTGTTAGCTTAGTGCATAGCATTTTTGCTAGCTTTCAAAGCGCTTAGCGCTACTGGCGTCCTTTAAATTAACTTTTCCAGATGCATTCTAATGCGCAAATAATGGAGCTAATTTTTAGCTTTATGCTTTAGCTAACTTTGAAAAGATTTACCACCCTTAGCTTCCCTTAAATTATTAGTAAAATTCTTCTGTGCTAATAACAGAGCTAATTTTTCACTTAGCGTTTAGAGTTTTTACTAACTTTGAAGATTTTTAGCGCTATTAGCTTCACCTAAATTTTTCTAGGTACATTTTTTTGCAAAAATAATGGAGCTAATTTTCAGCTTTGCCCTTTAGCTTACTTTGAAAAGATTTAGTATACTTAGCTTTCCCAAAATTAATTTTTCCAGATAAATTCTAACACGCTAATTTATTTGGCTGTTTAATAAACTTTCAGTTGAATAAAATTTTGCATCTGTGTTGAAGTTTTAGTTTAGAATTCAAGTAGTTAAATGTTTATATTCATGCTTTTATTTTGAAGTGGATGAAGAACAGCAGTTCTGTTTCCTCTCCCCACATCCTCTCATTTTTCCCACCATTACTTTTTCTCAGACGTAGAACATTCAGGAACAAAATAAAACATGTACAACAAAGAACAAGATATAAACATAAATAAAACATCTAACAGCATTTATGTTAAATTTATACTTGAGATGGATTAAATATTTTTAATTGAAGTTTGTGATTTTTGCATTAGCTTCCACTAAATGCAGTGTTGGTGAGGCTCATTAGCGTTAGCATAACAAATGTTTATTATTAGCACTTTATTAAGGGCTAGTACAACTAACTTTGTAGTTAAAACGGCCCAGCACTGATTTTTCTTCAGCTCTGTCAGATAGAAAAGCTGAAGTGAATTGAGAGTCAGAATTGATTCAGAAGAAAAGTTTCTAGACCTTCTTTAGCTTCAGACTCCAGGTCTTCTGTCTTTGGTCAACCTGATGTTTTCCATGCAGGCTGCTGGAGGAAAACTGCAAACTTGGCCCCCACTGGCCCACTTCTGTCCAAATATTGACTTTTCACACTCAGCACAGAGAAAAGTTGTGAATGAACCTCTTGAGAGCGCCGACCCAGATGCATTTGTCAGCACTCCAGGCATCAAAGCCTAAAATAAATGGATTTTAATGGCGGCTGCATAAAAATGGCCGCTTTTCATTCAAACAAATATCAGGAAAAACAGAAGATTTAAATGAGTTTCCATTACAACAGGCAGTCTGTTTTGTTCCAGTCTGTTATAAAGAAGTGTTTCCCTATCTGCTTAGTGTTAAATGTCTGACATATTTTCAGTGAGTCAGACTCTGCCTCAAGGTTCTCCTCCCTCTGACGGAGGATTGGACCCGGACTGAAAAAATTACAAGAATAAAGTCGTAATATTACCTGAAGAAAGCGGTGAATTATTGTCGTACGATTATGTCGTATCATTACTGCTTGTCGTATGACTTTACTCTGGTATTTCTACATCAAAAGACATGAAGCTTTTCTGTTCAAAGCTTTTTAATATTTAATGTTCTGTGTTTATTATTCAGACTAAGTCTAAAAAATGCATTTATTTATTACACAACATCTGGTCCTTGTAGTTCAACATATGGCCCAACATCCCACATGAGTCTGACTGTAAGTAAATCTGATGAGTTCGCGCCGACTGTCTGCTGCCGCCACAGCAATCTGTCGCAGGGGAGCTTACAAGGTGAGCCAAGGTCGCTGCAGACCAGACAGAACCGGCCCGTCTGCAGGGACGCCGCAGACAGAACCGGCCCGTCTGCAGGGACGCCGCAGACAGAACCGGTCCTGGTTCTGCTTGTGTTTTGGAAACGGCCGTGTGTGTGTTCCGTCTCCTCCGGTGCAGACCCGCTGTCGTCAGCAGATAGTTAGCTGGTGAGAACAATGAGGCTGGATCTCCGTCCTGCCGGTCGGAGCGGCGTGTGATCGATCAGGAATGCGTTTCTTCCTCAGCGTCTGCAGAAGGAGGCTGTGAGGATAAACCGGGCCTGGTGGCTCAGTGTCAACATTACTCTGCAAATTAGTTTCTGCTTTGCTTAAGTTGTTTTAAAAGTACTATTAAAATCAGCCTGGTGGGCCACCAGGCTTTACTTGTGTCCCCACCAGGCTCAGTATTGTTCTGTTTATTTAAAGTTTTATTTTAAGATTTTAAAGTTGGTGTTTAGATATTAATGATCAACTAATCAATTCTCCTGAGAAATTTTAAATTTGATGTTTAGTATTAAGACGATGGTTCTTATTCTGGCTGGAAACGAGTTTTAAATAAATTTTACAATTATTTTAGTTTATTGATATTTTTAAGTTAAAAAATGAAAATAACTGAAATCCAGAGAAAAACTCCTGAATGTTCAAATTTATAATAAACAAAGATTGTAAAGAATGATTAGCAGAGAGTTACTGATGTTTCAGGATGTTTGTGTCCGTCATCCATCCATCCCTGGTGAAAAGCTAACCCTACAAATCCGTCTAATATCCCATAGAAACAGTGAAACATGGTGGTGGCAGCATCATGCTGTGGGGAAGTTGATAGGAACTAAAAACAAAACAATGGTTCTCCTTCCAGGTGGCCATGCAGCCAGCTCCTTAATGGTTTAAATCACAGCATAATGTGTTAGAATGGCCTAGTCAAAGCCTAGCACTCTAAAAGCTGGCATGCTGTCCTTCCAGTCTGGCTGAGGTGATGTGCAGATTAGATCCCAGTAAAATAAAATAATGTTTATTTTGGTTGTGATGTGACATCATAGCAGGAAAACCCAGCAGCCGATGACCTTTGACCCCCACTGAGTTCCTGTCTGTGCTTGTGTGTGTTCAGGCTCTGGATGTGGACCGCAGCGTTCTCTACAAGATGAAGAAGTCGGTGAAGGCCATCTACACGTCCGGCCTGGGTGAGTCGTCACGGCGATTCTCACTTCCTCCAGTCGCAGACCGACCCGCTTCAAACCCGAAGCCTCAAAAACGGGTCGCTGCAGCGGCAGAACTTCTGCTTTCCTCCTGAGAGAGAGAGTGTGTGTGTGTGTGTGTGTGTGTGTGTGCGTGTGTGTGTGTGTGTGTGTGTGTGTGTGTGTGTGTGTGTGTTCTGGTCTCTCCCTCTGCAGGGTTCTGTTAGAAAACCCAAACAATTTGCTGAGCAGGTTTGTTTTTTCTGAACAGAGCGCGCTCAGTTCAGGCCACAGGGCCGGCTGTTTGATTCAGACCCTGAAAGGAGCAGCTGGAGGGGGGAGGGGCGTCATGGCTGCCATGTTTGATGGCGGCCATGTTCTCTCTTCACTGTACCTTTCAGGTTGTTTTTGAGTTAATGATCGCCGGGGAGTCAGTGTTGCTATCAGTGTTGACAGTAGAAACATTTCCCCGTCTGTGGAAAGTTTTCATTCCCACTGAGGCCGTCTGGTAGAAACTGTCATGGCCGACAAAGCTGCCCCGGCTCTGGCCTGTTTCCAGTAGCAGCAGAATATTCCAGTTCATCCTCTAAACTAACTTCATGAAACGTAGCAGTAGTGAGATGTGTTTCTGTGGCTACAAAATGGATCATGATATGAGTATTTTATAGAATTATTGAGTAGTTTTTTTGTCTTAAGTATCAGAAATACTGGCAGACTCAGTGCTGTGGTGGCGTGACCTTTCCTGTTTTATCCACAGTTTTTACTGTTTCTATTTTTCAGCAGTTATGAAGCACATCTGCAAAACCTGAAACTGCTGCTGCGCAAGTTACCGAACAGTTTGTTGCTAGGTAACCAAAGAGTGAGTGAGTTGCTAGGTAACAACTTATCATGTCATTATCAACATTAGTTGAAAATGGCCTTAAAACAACAGTATTATCGTTTCTCTCCCTGTATGATTTGTTGTTGTGACCAGCCTGATCGATGTTGATCAGGTTGTGATTAAGTTGAGAGAGAAAGATAAAATTCCTGGGTGCTGCTCTTCATGAAAACATAAACTGGAAACCACAGCAATTTAAAAACAAACATATAAAAATGTTATTCCATAAAGCGAAAGACTCACTGAGTGATGAAACAGCGTTGATAAGAGGTAACCGATTCTGCCAATTGTTCTATCAACTATTCCATTAATCAGATAAAAAATTGGTAAGCTGATAATCTTGTATAATTTTAAAAAGACAAATAATTCAATTCCATTTTCTTGTCTAAAGTACGTTAACATCATTCCTTTGTGAACGTTTGATCATTTGTAGCAAATTATGCATATGCAGCTAAAAATAGTTTTAACGTCAACATGTGAAAATCTGAAAAGTAATTAAAAAAGTTGAAGGTTTATTAATGCAACTTGTCGACATTGATGCCAGATGTAAAGTTTAGTCATGTTCAGATCTTTGTAGTGTAAAGATGGTTCATGTTTTCATGCGGCTGAAACGCCGAGACGAGATGAAACCGTGTGATAAAATCAAAGCTCCTCTAAAGTGAAACTGCCGTTTGGTTCTTTCAGTTCGGCTTGTTGACGTGGATGATGACTGAGATTAAAGCTGGAATGCAGCTGCTTGTGTCAGAGTGAAATTATTTCAGAAAAAAGCAAAGCTTTTCTGTTTAAGTGATCATAAATCTCAGAGGTCAATTTGGTTATATGTTGGGCTGCAATGATTTCATAAAATAATGTTTTTGTACATTTTGCTGATGAAAGTAATTGAGTTGAGGTTCCTAGCCCTTCTCAGATTTATGAGCAGCAACAGTTGCATCTTTAAAGTCGTTGCTGATGTATTTCTGTGTTAAACTGCTTTTAAAAACCTTCATGAAGATTTAATTATTGGAGGTTTTATAGGCTGTTATGGACTTAAAGTTTATTACGATGTTTTGTTGTACCATTGTATTATGCAAAAAGTGAAAATAAGGATTATTTTATTACATATTCCTTAGGTAACTAGGTGACTGTAACTCTGTGTCACAGCAATTACAGTCCCACAGACACAAACACTGCTCCTGAAAAACATTCCCATTTGTAAGGCGCTTTTTTTAGGACACCAGTCACAGAAAGAAGTTTGATTTGTTTCACTAAACTGGTAACTATATTTTTACTGATGCTCTCATTGAGCAAACAGTGGAAATAATAGTAAAAGTATCAATAATGACGATAAAGACAGCTTTGGAGGGTTTTAAATACCGTTACTTGGAATTTATTGGGCCAGTGATGAATCAAAATTCTTATTATAATAACAAATTTCACATTAAGTTATAAATAATACGATACGACAAACACCCCCCTATTTCCACCAATGGACTCTTTGGGCTTCCGTAGTTCAGAGATTTCAGTCCATCTTGTTTTGCTTTATTTGTATTTAATTAAACTTCAAAGTCAGATGATTGAAATAAAAGTAAGTTTCTTAAAAAAACGTTTGTAATTTTCTTTTTAGAAAAGAGAGAGAGGAAAAACATCAAATTCACCCGGCCTTATTTCCAAAACTTTAAGATGAATTAAACACTGGAGATGAACTTACTCTTTGGATTCAACTTTGCAGGATTTGACAGAAACTTTGTTCCTGTCGTCTCTAAACTCGATCTCTGCAAGCAAAAAGAAAAACTGTTGTGTTGCAGAGGAAACAAATGAAGCCACTGCTGGGAGTCTGACTGTAAATCTGAAACCCAGCAGGAATATTTCACCATTTGCATGAGGACTAATAATATTGAGAATATTTCAGGTTGTAAAAATAACAATTCAAGAGTCTGCAGGAGCTGAGTCAGCAGCAGAACAAAAAGACAGAGGCGTAAATACTCCTGAAAAATTGTTGATACTTTTCTGCAACAAAAAGTCAGAGTTGTGTTTGGATTCACTTCCGGATAGCAAAATGTAAACTTTACCAACTCACAGAAATCAGTTTCCTTTAAAAGCTTCTGCTGAAAATTAATTTTGCACTTTGCAGCTTTTCTAAGCTGCACACAAATGGCTGCAGACATTTAAGACTTTTCTTGTTTTCGCTGGTCTCTGCAGAGATACGGCGTTAATCTGAGCTCACACATTGTTCTGTATGCGTCAGCGAGGAAGCAGAAGCCGGCCTGTTGTCCCACGATTAAAGCAGTTAAGAAGCTGCAACGCAAACTTTTGGGACGTTGGATAATCCTCTGCAGATGCCTCAAAAGCTCTGCTTTGTTTTTCTTCCTTCTTTGCTGCTATGCAAACTGATAAAATGTAAGTTGTGTTTGCAGCCAAGCGTGTTGGTGCAGCAGTGTTATTGTATGCAGTAGAAACAGGATCATTGTTTAGCAGAGGTTAGAGGCAGTACGTGGGAGCTCAGGGTGACATTTCTGCAACACACTTTACCGTCTATGATGACTCAAAAACCTCTTGATACCAAAAACCCTTTAATCCAAAGCATGAATCTCACATTCAGACTTACATTTTTAGGATATTCATCTATTTATCCAAACAAATGAAGAGAAAATACAACTGATTTTTAGTATTAAACTTTCCTCCAAGCTGCCAGAATGGAACAGGAGTCTGTTTGAATGAAACTATGGTTTATGACCCTGAAATTGATCAAGGCGGTTTAGGTCTCAGTGTTCAGATGTGTCATTATTGGCTGGAGAGCAAAGTTTGGGCCCTTCCTGTTCGTCCACAAACCGCCAATGGGCCCTGTGACCAGCAGTTTGGACACGTCTGATCTAATGAGAAGTTTAAATTTAACAGACGCTTCAGAAGAGTGAAAGAAAAAGACTCGAGGTTTCAGAAACCAGCTGGGCTTCAGCTGAACTCGGCCAGAACTTCAGGGACTAAACAGTGAAGGCAGCGGCGGGCACCTCTAGCTGAAACGTTACTTGGCTAACCTAACGCACTAGTGATAAAGATTAGTTCCTCCAAATTCAGAAATGCTACACCAACACCTTATTTAGTAAAAGCTAACGCTAAAACGCTTCACCAACATGGTATTAATCTGTAGCTAATGCTAGATGCCCCACCAGCATGGTAATTAATGGAAGCTAACGCTAAAACGCTTCACCAACATGGTATTAATCTGGAGCATTAGCTCCAGGTTGTTTTAGCGAAACGGTGAAGCGCTGCACCAATACAGTGTTTGGTGAAAACATATTAAATACTGACTTCAATCCAAATTACATCTGAAGACTACAACCCTTCAGCAATAATTTAATTTTGACATAAACTATTTTTAATAAATTAAGTATGCTAATCTGCTCTTAGATATTGTATTTTTATTAATATATTGTTCTCTACATGTTTTACTTTGTTCCTGTATGTTTCTTGTTTGAAATAGTTATTGGAATAAAAAGAGAGAACTTGAGGAAAGGAAATTGAACTGGTGCGTCTTTATTTCAAAATATGAGCATACATATAAATGTCTAAGTTTTTGAAAAACTCCTAACTGTCTATAATCAAAACTTCAGCGATGTCGAACATTATTCAACTAAAAGTTTACAAAACAGAAAAGCAAATTGCTTTAATTTAAGGGAAGCTTAGTCCACTAAGCATTTTCAAAGTTTGCAAAAATGCTAACCAAAAATGTAGCTCTGCTGCTAGTGGATTAGCCGTTTGTCCACTGTACCTGTGGTGGATTATTGTGCAGTTTGATAACTGACCTCTGACCTGTTCCTGCATGTGTTTGTCTTCAGCCCATGTGGAGAACGAGGAGCAGTACACTCAGGCGCTGGAGAAGTTCGGCGAAAACTGTGTGTGCCACGACGACCCCGACCTGGGCTCGGCCTTCCTCAAGTTCTCCGTCTTCACCAAGGAGCTGACGGCACTCTTCAAAAACCTGGTGAGTGCGTGCGTTTGTATTACCTTGTGGGGACGATTTTGCTGACATATACTACGTTGTGGGGACCGGAGCCTGGTCCCCACAAAGGGAAACCCTGTTATTGGGTCAGGGGTCAGATTTGGGGCTAAGGTATGAATTGAGATTTGGATTGGGTTAAGGATAGGAAAAGGGTAAAGGTCAGCTTTAGGCTGTAGAAATGAATGGAAGTCAATAGAAAGTCCCCACAAAGATAGCAACACAAACGTGTATTATGAAACCCTGTGTGTGTGTGTGTGTGCGTGTGTGTGTGTGTGTGTGTCGGACCCTGTGTGTGTGTGTGCGCTCGTGAGCGTCCGAGCGCCTGCGCGGCTGGGTCCCAACA